TTCCAATATATGTTTGGTTTTTAAGAAAAAATTTGAGGGAAAATGGGAAGTTAGAGACAGTTATTGGCAATTATTAATTTTTTGTATCTAATCATCCATTTTCTCTCAAAATCTTGTAAATTTTATAGGACAAAAGGATAACAGGAAAAAAAAAAAAAAAAGTGATTGCAAGTTTCTGCAGTCGCATTTTAGAATTCAACCCGGTTCTCCTGAATAACGCCCCAGTCACAAGCATGTCTAGGTGCACTTTACATAATCTCTAACTACATTGAAAATCTAACCTGGAACATTTGGCACACATTTAAACCCACTTGTATAAGCAACTCTCGAAATTGTCATTAATCGATAAAAAAAAAGGGGTAAATTATATATTACCTACTCGAAAAGAATACATTGTTTTCACTCGTAATTGTCTAACTGAATTAATCCACATCCTCTGTTTTCTATCTTACGAATGTAATGCAATTCCCAGATTAAATTTGGTTGCGTCATGTAAGATGCACATATTACAAGGAAATGAGTACTTTCTTTAATCTTAGATCAATAAATTGTCAATTTGGGCAGAAAATATAGACAATTGGAGCATCTTTATTTTATCAACAAGGAAATTATGTGTTATTGCACGTTTCTCCCCAAATTATTGCTTCTATTGAGAGCATAAATTGCGTGCAATATTTGCATCTAAATGACGAAGTAGGATTTTACTTAGGTCGATTTTTGTATTGCAAAATATTGAAAAAAATTAACGAGCGAATCGATCCAATTGGGCAACAAGGGGAGTAAATGAGAATTAAAACCGTGTGATTGATCCAAAGAAATGTAATACTAGTTTTTTTTTTTTTTTTTTGCTTGGATGGTGTAATACAAATATTCTTTTATTTTTATTTTTATTTTTTTTAGTGTAAACAGAAGAACTCGAACCCGAGACCTCTTGCTTACACTCCCTCCCCCCATACCACCCAATCCATCCCTCCCCCCTAATACAAATATTCAAATTGCAAAATTTCAATTAAAAAAAAAAAACAAAGCGTTGTTAGCCATATCGACAAATGCTAGATCCTCAGTGCTTTTTGAAACTTGTATTTTAAACCAAGTAATGTCCAGTTTTTAATAGAAGAAGGACGGCATTTATAGTGAACATATGGAAAGTGTAAAATAATAGATGATCGAAAATTAAAGCATAAGTCTTACCTACGACCCTAAGCAAATAAAAGTTGAGGCCATTTCCCATTTCAATTAAAAGCGTGAGTGGAGGACCATTTTTGAAACACATATATGTAAATTCATTTTAAAAAATAAAAAAATAAGTACAAAATAGTGGTACAAAGAGCATTAAACATTTGGCAGAAATCTACGAAATAAAAATGGTGATTTTTTTGGGTGAAATTATAAAAAATGAATTCAATTTTTTCAATGCACGAGTTAAAGTTGCAAATACTTCATAGTGAGCCACCTGCACCTATCAATGCAAGAAAGCAACATAGTCCTCAAATTGACTAATTCCGCACTATTTGACTCTTTTGTTCCGCACTATTCAACCTTTTGCTGCTTATAGAATATTGTATACCGACCTTAAGGTCAGGCAAAAAAAAAAAAAAAAAAAAGGGACTACTACAAATAAGATTATAGCAGAGTAGAATATTAATACATAGTACTATCCGCAAGAGAGTGACTTTTTAAATTATATGAGTATAATATGAGTATTTACTAATTATATTTTTAAAACTTGAGCAGCCCTCATAGTCAAGGTACCAACGAGCATGTAAGTTAATATTTTGTTATTGATCCTCTGTGGTTTCTAGCATGATGCTTTTGTAAGATTGTGGATTTTGACGTAGGGGTTTCTCGGTTTTGGGCGCCCGGAATGCTGATTAAATACTAAGAAGGTTCAACAATTTATAATTCTATTAGGAGACCATCACAATTGTCCAAATCAAGGTTTCCTAGTCAAAGCTGTAACCACACACTTTTTCAGAATTTGAAAAGCTATGTACAATGGACGGTGTCAAAATAAACAAGCTCAAAATATATCAGGATGGTGTCAAATGTTCTGCAAGATATTTATGCAACATCATCTACTAATAAAATAAAGCACACAAAATATAAAAAGAGCACTTGTTATGAAAAGAGCATTTACAGAAAATTTTGGCAAGAATGTTATATGGTCTTGAGAGAAGACGTGAGAGCATAAATTGCATTGGAATGAAGTTGCCTAGATTAAGATGGAATGAGGTTGTCTAGATTAAGTCGTGAGAGCATAAATTGCATTAGAATGAAGTTGTCAAGATTAAGACGTGAGAGCATAAATTGCATTAGCATGAAGTTGTCTAGATTAAGACAGAAATTACTTGGTCTTCTCTAGACTGTAGCCATATTGTCTCAACTCTGATCCACTTAAAGTCTTGCACCAAAGAAATTGATATTGAAAGTTACATCTGTCCAACATTTTTCTCTTGTACAATAATTACTGTATGCAAACAGAAGTTTCATAGTTGTACAAGTGACAGGTGTCGAGCCTGTGCAATAATAAATACCTGCTCGAGAAAAATAAATTTTCTGTGTATAGTAGTGAGCAGGGTCGAATCCACAGGGACTGGAAAAAATTCGATTCTTTTTAAATTCGAGACACGGGGGATTTTTATCAGAATAAAACTAAAAATAAATAATTAAAAAATTTAACTAAAAATAATTAAACAATTTAACCAAAAATAAATAATTAATTAATTAATACAAATGTAAATAGCAATCTAATAAATAATAAATAAATTTTAACCAAGAATACAACTACGCAGACACAGTCCATTCATCCGATCATTGATGCAAAGAAGGTTCACTTAATTTTATTAACAGGTTAGTTATAATCGCCGATAAACTCTAACGATCAGCTTTTCTTTAATTTATTGATAACCAAGGTACGACCGTTGATTACCCCTAACCAGGAAATATTCCTAGGTACGACCGTAGGAATTAATTTCCTAATTGTTTTAAAAACTAGAAAAGCCTAACCCAAATTAATAACACGCTACGAGGGTTATTTAAATCAGATTGAATATTTTCGTAGTATGTAAAAATACTATTTGCCACTAATATTAACCAATTAAACAATTACGGATTTAATTGATTAATTTGACAGGAGATTAAAAAGTCAAATTGCACATCGGGCCCTTGATATCCAATTAACAAAATAATCCCATGAAAATTAAAATATAAAACATGTAAATATTAACAAATTAAGGAACACGTAAAATTAATTAGATCTTACAGATATTTGGGACTGCGTCTTCACGTTGATCCTTGACTAGAAGAGAAAATTAGCCATGCCTTATAAGAAAATCTCCACGCAATTTAATTGAATTCAAAGACATAAACACTCGCTAATAATTTAGAATAAAACTTTGAATCTCCGTAGACTCTTTGAAGAAAAATTACATACCACTCAACAAAAGAAGGAACAAGTTCCTTCTTACATAAAAGACTACCTATTCTCCTACCTACGGAGCTTCTTTGGAGAGAAAACTAAAAACTAGTCTGATCGCTTCTGCCTTCTCTCATAGCTTTTTTTATTTAGCACTAGTTTCCTAAGAGAACTAGTGACGTAGGAAGCAAATTGGAAAAGCTCAATTATCAAAGCCAACACCTTGGCTAATGAGTATATCTCCCACAATAAGAACAAACTTTCTACGTGGTCCTCGCCTAATTGAGATGTTTGCCATTCCCATTCTTCTTCATCAGCAAAGGAATGGACGTTGGTCTTCACTGGACCAATTGTGTAAAGCTTTTAGAAGCTTTCACGTGTGGAGAAATCTTCTCAAGAAGGTTCCCTTTTTTAGCACTTTTCTGCTCCACTTTTTGAAATTATATCCAAATGTCAAATATAAATATATGTTAACAATTAAAACAATATTTGGCAAGGATAAAGAGGAGAATTAACAATAAAATTACTAACAATTAATACCCTATCAATTCCCCCCACACTTAAATCATGCTTGTCCTCAAGCATGAGAATAACTAAATTCAACAATGGCTAACTCTCATTTCATTTATTGCCAAGCTGCGTTTATCCCAAAATCAAGTTTTAGTAGCTAAGTGTCAAGACATATTTCTCTCGGTTAGCTCCTGAAATCATAAACTCGTCCAATTCATGGCTAACTCATATAGGAAATGAAAATATTAAGCTAGCAAAAGTTAGCAATTGGGTCAATTGACAACCAAAATCTCAACATTGAAGAACAAGGATTGGCAGGCCAACATGATCATAAGCTTACACTTTTTTTTTTTTTTGGGAAATCTCTTATTTTTATTTATTTATTTTTCGATAAATGCTCAGTCCCAAGCTATTCAAGTCTTTTGACGTGAACTCTGACATTTTTAGATGAAAGAGCCTAGTTACTCAACTTTTCACAGCTTCAGGACTAACTAATCATAGATATCGCCACTTTTTGAAGCGAAAGTCGACACTTGTGGTGAAGACTCCCGGTTACTGGGTGACGGCACTAGCGGAGTAGAGTCATTTATTAATCACAATTAAAGCACCAGAATACCAGATAATTAAAGATCATGGCCCACGTCATCTCCTAATATGGAGAACTAAGATCAACAATTGCCCAATCCACACAACAATTGCTAATAAAATATTTATATTGCCTAAACAAGTTAACCACAATTTACACCAAGTCATTAAACTCATGATATTCACCAAGATAACATGCTTTTACTTGCCACTTAAACTAAATTCATAGAATAAATCATAACCAGCAATAGACGAGTGAGATGCCACATTTATTCATCAAGTCAACAGTAAGATAAGCAGCAAATTAAAGAAATACCAGTCAAATCCAAATCTCCCCCCACACTTAAAGCACACATTGCCCTCAATGTGACAATTAAACAGTAAAAATAAGAAGAAGGGCAACGAAACTCCCCTTAAGTCGTCAAAACAGCAGCGGGCTAGGTGCAAGTTGAGGTTCAACACCCACATGGTGCATAAACGCCGTCAAATTCTACGCCATGCTATGCACATTCGCATCAATATTGGTTACCTGAGCCTCCAGTTTCTGAACTCGCATCTGGAGTTGGTGCCAGTCATCAGTCCTTGGGGTTGGAGGAGGTGGAGCGGAGGTCGAAGGGCCGGGGTCACCGCTAGCAGTGGAGGAACGGGCACAAGATGAAAGAGGGGGAATACAAGACGGTCCCGGTCCGTTCACTGGAAATCCTTCATAATACGGCTTGAGACGGTGACCATTCACCACAAATTTCTTCTTTGTTTTCAAACTCTGGATCTTCACTGCACCATAATGAAAAACATTAGTCACAACAAAAGGACCGATCCAACGAGAACGTAATTTACCTGGAAATAACTTCAATTTGGAGTGGTATAATAGAACTTTTTGCCCACTGACGAATGTCTTCCTTGATATCTGTTGGTCATGAAATACCTTATTCTTCTCTTTATAAATTACCGCATTCTCGTATGCTTCATTTTGAATCTCCTCCAATTCTTGTAATTGTAACTTTCTTTGAATTCCGCCTTCCTCGATATCCATATTGCATTGTTTGACCGCCCAAAATGCTCTATGCTCAAACTCAACCGGGAGATGACATGGCTTTCCAAATACTAATCGATAAGGGGACATGCCAATAGATGTCTTGTATGCCGTCCTATGTGCCCATAGTGCATCCTCTAGTCTCATACTCCAATCCTTCCTATCGGGTCGGACCATCTTTTCTAGAATTGATTTGATCTCTCGATTCGAATACTTCCGCCTGACTATTTGTCTGAGGATGGTAGGATGAATAGACTTTGTGCAAGACACAATATCTCCTAAAAACTGCAGCAATCGTCTTGTTACAGAAATGAGTACCCCGATCACTTACAATTGCTCTCGGCATCCCAAAACGGACAAAAATATTAGACTTAATGAATTCTACAACCACTTTGGAATCATTAGTGCGGGTGGCCTTTGCTTCTACCCACTTCGAAACATAATCTACAGCAAGCAATATATACAAAAAACCAAAGGACGAAGGAAAAGGACCCATAAAGTCAATACCCCAAACGTAAAAAATTTTAACAAAAATCATTGGGGTCTGAGTCATTTGATCCCTACGAGAAATATTACCTACTCGTTGACACTTATCACAGGACTTACAAAATAAGTAGGCGTCCTTGAATAGGGTTGGCCAATAGAATCCACTCTCTAGCACCTTACGAGCCGTTCTGTTCGGTCCAAAGTGACCTCCACATGCAAAAGAGTGACAATAGGCTAGAATAGATTGAAATTCAGCTTCACTTACACATCTACGGATGATTTGATCGGCACCCCGCTTCCAGAGGTAAGGATCATCCCAAATGTAAGACTTCGCATCGCTTCTCAACTTGTCTCTCTTCGCCTTAGGCCATCCTGTAGGAAACTTGTCAGTGACTAGAAAATTAACAATATCCGCATACCAAGGCAAAGATGAATTAATAGAAAATAAATGTTCATCGGAAAATGCTTCTCTCAGTGGGAGGTCATCTTCGACGACTTGTACTCGACTCAAGTGATCTGCTACCAGATTCTCCGTCCCTTTCTTATCTCGGATCTCCAGGTTGAACTCTTGTAACAACAATATCCACCGTATTAATCGTGGTTTTGCCTCTTTCTTGGTCAACAGATACCGTAAAGCTGCATGATCAGAAAAAATAATAACTTTAGCACCAAGTAAATAAGATCGAAATTTCTCTAAGGCAAAAACAACTGCTAAAAGCTCCTTTTCGGTGGTTGAATAGTTCAATTGAGCTCCGTTCAAGGCTCGAGATGCATAGTAGATAACATGAGCTGCCCTTCCCACTCTTTGACCCAATACAGCACCAACTGCATAGTCGCTGGCATCGCACATGATCTCGAATGGGAGGTTCCAGTCAGGGGGTTGGATAATAGGTGAGGAGGTCAAGAGCTCCTTTAACTTATCGAATGCCCCCTTACATGTTTCATCGAACTCGAATGATATATCTTTTTGCAAAAGTTGGAACAATGGTACTCCAATCTTCGAGAAATCCTTGATGAACCTTCTATAGAAACCTGTGTGACCCAAGAAAGAACGAACTTCCCGCACACTCGCGGGGTAAGGTAAAGTAGATATAACATCTATTTTTGCCTTATCAACCCCGATACCTGTAGATGATACTACATGACCCAAAACTATCCCGTATTCGACCATAAAGTGACATTTTTCTCAATTAAGCACGAGATTAGCTTCTATACACCTTACTAAGATCAATTTCAGGTTATCTAGACAGTTTTCAAAGCTTTCACCATACACACTAAAATCGTCCATGAAAACCTCAATAATCTTCTCAACATACTCTGAAAAGATACTTAACATGCATCTTTGGAAGGTAGCAGGTGCATTATACAATCCAAATGGCATCCTTCGGTATGCAAATGTTCCAAATGGGCACGTGAAAGTAGTTTTCTCTTGGTCCTCGGGTGCGATGGCAATTTGGAAATAACCTGAAAATCCATCCAAGAAACAATAGTAAGCTCGACATGCTAATCGCTCTACCATCTGATCAATGAAAGGGAGGGGGAAATGATCCTTTTTCGTGACGGCGTTTAGCTTCCGGTAATCGATACACTGTCACCATCCGGTGGGCTTTCGAACTGGTACGAGCTCTCCCTCTTGGTTTGGTTCTACCGTCACCCCTGTCTTTTTCGGGACCACCTGTACTGGACTTATCCACGGGCTATCTGATATTGCAAATATAATTCAAACGTCTAGTAATTTCAGGATCTCTTTCTTCACTACCTCCATCATGAGAGGATTTAATCTCCGTTGAGCTTGCCGTACGGGTTTAGCATTCTTCTCGAGTCGAATTCGGTGCATACACACCGCGGGGCTAATTCCCTTGATATCGGCGATGGTCCATCCTATCGCCTGCTTATGTTCCCTGAGAACTCGAAGTAGTTTATCTTCTTGAATCTTTGACAAACCCGCGGAGATGATCACTGGAAGTGTCTCCCCTTCACCCAAGTATGCATACTTCAGGTGTTTCGGCAGCGGTTTCAGTTCCAAGATAGGTGCCTGCACCACAGATGGAAGTAACCTTTTGTGAGGTTCAGGTATAAAAATGGGTGCGAGGTCATACCTTGTCTCCGTGGTTGGTAACGTTCGCAACGATCCAATCACACATTTGAGCTCTTCACTCAACTCTATCCCAGAGGTCGTTTCGGACTCGAAGTGCCTAGTTAAGGCGACCTCTAGCTCATCCTTGCCTTCAATTTCAAAAACCTCCTGTATAGCAGGGTCAATAACATTTATGGAGAAAACAGAGCTAACATTTGAATCGGATGGATATTTCATGGTCTCAAAGATGTTAAAGTGAACAATCTCACCATCAAATTCCATAGATAAAGTACCCTTATTAACATCAATTTTGGTTCGGGCTATGCTCAAAAAGGATCTACCTAACAATAAAGGTGACGGATCACGGGAGTGTTCATCCTCCATGTCGAGCACATAAAAATCAGCTGAAAAAACCAATTCATTAATTTTTATCAAAACATCTTCAATCAACCCGTCAGGGTATGCGTTGGTCCTGTCAGCTAGTTGGATTATTATTTCAATTTCTTTCAAAGGGTCTAAGTTCAAGGAAGCATAAATAGACTTTGGCATGACATTAATCGAGGCTCCTAGGTCTAACATGGCCTTTCCAATCAAATATTACCTATCCTACAGGGAATAGTAAACATACCTGGGTCTCCGCATTTCGGTGGAAGCTTCCTTTGTAGAATTGCTGAAACATTCTCCCCAACTATAACTCGTTCATCTCCCTTCAACCGCTTGCGGTTGGCACACAGGTCCCTCAAAAATTTTGCGTACCTGGGTACTTGTTTAATCGCATCCAGTAGGGGTATGTTGATCTCTACCTTGCGAAAGATCTCCAGGACCTCTTTTTCCTTGTCTTGCTTCTTTGATTTCTCTAACCTTCTAGGAAAGGGAGGTGGATTAGTTTTAACTGTAGGAATTGGGTTCGAGGGTACCTTTGCATTTTTGTTGTCTCTGCCCTCCTCTTCTAATTCTTTCTCGATCCGTTCCTCGTCATTGTCTTTAGGAATCACGGGTTCGGGTCCTTGAACTTCCTTGCCACTCCTCAAGGTCATTGCACTTACATTCTTTGGATTCACCTCAGGTTGAGATGACAACTTCCCTTGAACTTGGGACTCCAAACGGTTGATTGTTATGGCCATTTGATTCATTTGATTTTGCAATAATTGCACCTGTTCCAGTTGATTCCTCATGCTTTGCAAGTCTGAATCCGTCTTTTGTTGATTAGCAAGTAATTGCTTCATCATCTCTTCCATGGACGGACTTGAATTTGAAGGGGGTGGTAGTGGTGGTGGGCGAGGATGATACTACTGTTGGTGCCCTTGTGATCTATTTGGCACAAAGTTAGACTGTCTATTCCCTCCATAGCTAAGATTTGGGTGATCTCTCCAACCAGGATTGTAGGTACTTGAATATGGGTCGTATTGCTTTCTTGGCGCGGGCGCGTGGCCAGCCATGTTCACCTGTTCTGCAGTTTCTTCTTGAACCAATGGACACATTTCCGTAGGATGACCCACGGCAGTGCATACCCCACACACTTTGGCTTGCGATGCATTCTCCACAGCTAGTTGTCGCACAAAAGATGTCAATTCGGAGAGTTGCTGTTGAATAGAGGATGTTTCTACCTCATTCACCCTACGCGTAGGGATGTCCTCTCTTGAACCAAACTGCTGTGAGTTCTCAGCCATCCCTTCAATCAACTCCCATGCTCCTCGAGGAGTCTTGTTCACCAATGCCCCTCCACTTGCAGCATCGATTATGCTTCTGTCCCTGAAAAGCAACCCTTCATAGAAATATTGAATGGGCAGTTGCTCACTTATCTGATGCTGAGGGCATTTGGTGCACAGTTTCTTAAACCTCTCCAGTACTCATAGAGTGACTCGCCTGGGTGTTGTTTGATGCCACATATCTCCTTCCTTAGGCTCGTAGCTCGAGACGCCGGAAAGTATTTGTCTAAGAATTTTTTCTTCAGTTGGTCCCACGTGGTGATACTACCAGGCGGTAGGTAGTAGAACCAGTCTTTTGCGGAGTCCTTCAAAGAGAAGGGGAAGGCCCTCATCTTTATTTGCTCTTCTGTAATTCCCGGAGGCTTCATACTGTTGCAAACAACGTCGAACTCTTGCAAGTGCTTGTAGGCCTCCTCACCTAGTAGACCATGGAAAGATGGTAAGAGATGAATTAGACCAGATTTTAGTTCAAATGGAGTGTCATCATTTAAATGCGGAAAAGTAATGCACAAGGGCTGCTGATTTAAATCAGGAGCAGCTAACTCCCTTAGTGTTCGTGCATTTACCATGGTGACTTCCTCTTGGTCTGAACCAATCGAATTGTCACCAGGAAAATTTGTCGGCTCAACCTCTGGATCAAGTCCCTGAGGTGCAATACCGTATTGCTCCTCCCTAAGTCGCCTGGTTTCTTTTCTCGTTCTACGCGCGGTCTTCTCTACTTCAGGGTCGAAAATTAATTCGTCTGTACGAGAAGAGCGAGGCATAAACTAGAAAAATACCAGAAAATTAAAACAAAATTGAACTTAAAAAGAAACAAATAATTAACGCCAGTCCCCGGCAACGGCGCCAAAAATCAACAGGTGTCGAGCCTGTGCAATAATAAATACCTGATCGAGAAAAATAAATTTTCTGTATATAGTAGTGAGCAGGGTTGAATCCACAGGGATTGGAAAAAATTCGATTCTTTTTAAATTCGAGACACGGGGGATTTTTATCAGAATAAAACTAAAAATAAATAATTAAAAAATTTAACTTAAAATAATTAAACAATTTAACCAAAAATAAATAAATAATTAATGAATACAAATGTAAATAGCAATCTAATAAATAATAAATAAATTCTAGCCAAGAATACAACTACGCAGACACAGTCCATTCATCCGATCATTGATGCAAAGAAGGTTCACTTAATTTTATTAACAGGTTAGTTATAATCGCCGATAAACTCTAACGATCAGCTTTTCCTTAATTTATTGATAACCAAGGTACGACCGTTGATTACCTCTAACCAGGAAATACTCCTAGGTACGACCGTAGGAATTAATTTCCTAATTGCCTTAAAAACTAGAAAAGCCTAACCCAAATTAATAACACGCTACGAGGGTTATTTAAATCAGATTGCATGTTCTCCTAGTATGTAAAAATACTATTTGCCACTAATATTAACCAATTAAACAATTACGGATTTAATTGATTAATTTGACAGGAGATTAAAAAGTCAAATTGCACATCGGGCCCTTGATATCCAATTAACAAAATAATCCCATGAAAATTAAAATATAAAACATGCAAATATTAACAAATTAAGGAACACGTAAAATTAATTAGATCTCACAGATATTTGGGACTGCGTCTTCGCGTTGATTCTTGACTAGAAGAGAAAATTAGCCACGCCTCATAAGAAAATCTCCACGCAATTTAATTGAATTCAAAGACATAAACACTCGCTAATAATTTAGAATAAAACTTTGAATCTCCGTAGACTTTTTGAAGAAAAATTACATACCACCCAACCTTCTTACATAAAAGACTACCTATTCTCCTACGGAGCTTCTTTGGAGAGAAAACTAAAAACTAGTCTGATCGCTTCTGCCTTCTCTCATAGCTTTTTTTATTTAGCACTAGTTTCCTAAGAGAACTAGTGACGTAGGAAGCAAATTGGAAAAGCTCAATCATCAAAGCCAACGCCTTGGCTAATGAGTATATCTCCTACAATAAGAACAAACTTTCTACGTGGTCCCCGCCTTATTGAGATGTTTGCCATTCCCATTCTTCTTCATCAGCAAAGGAATGGACGTTGGTCTTCACTGGACCAATTGTGTAAAGCTTTTAAAAGCTTTCACGTGTGGAGAAATCTTCTCGAGAAGGTTCATTTTTTAGCACTTTTCTGCTCCACTTTCTGAAATTATATCCAAATGCCAAATATAAATATATGTTGACAATTAAAACAATATTTGGCAAGGATAAAGAGGAGAATTAACAATAAAATTACTAACAATTAACACCCTATCAACAAGAATAGTTTAACATAATTGTACAAAAATTTATATAATCAATAAACAATTGTGTCCTAATTAAGTGGCAAGTAACTAATTTCATTTGTTG